TTTTTTTTTTTTTTTTGGCTGCTTGGGGCGGCCAAAACCCTGGAGCTGGCCCTGGCCCTAACAGATCTTTATTCTGCATACTAGATAGTTTTCGTGTGTGAGGGAAATGATTCTAATTTGGTGGTTGTTATACCGGTGGCTCTTTGGGTAAGTTCCTTTTAAAATCCGAATCAAATCTTTTCCTCCTACTTCTAATCTTGGGTCCAAATTCAGAGGTGACATAGTTGGTTGTGTAAGTTACCAAGTCGCATAAGTCAGTATAAAATGGTGTAGTTAATGCAGAAAGAGAGGTGGGGGGAATGTAGCTGATTGAAGGTCATGGTATAAAAAAACAAAATGGACAGAATAGGCAGATAAACAGGTAATGAGACAGTGCAAGAAGGTATCAGATCAGGCAGAGAGAGCCTGCTTTATCTTAAGAATGCCTATTAGTAGCTTTTCCTGCCATACTCTCCCCATTCAGTCCCTTGACATGTAAGTTACACCCCTTTACCCCAGCCTACTGACATGCACCTCACTCTGCCATTCACGGCCCCCATTGTAAAGTGATTTGCATCCCTGTTCGGGTTTGGGGTTTTCTTAAAGGGTAACATTTCAGCTCACGGTGTGGCTTGACTCTGTGAAATGCCACATCCTCGCATGTCATTTATTACAGCATGTTACTTGTGTTGTTTTGTGCTGTCGTGTGCTTTACCACAAGACCCTTTCATTCTGTTCGGAGTGATAAGAAATGGACTTCTTACGTAGTGGGAGTTTTTGCGCCTTCTCAAGGCCCTGATCCAGCCCCCTCTGCAGTCAATAGAAATACTCCCATTGACGTCAGCGGGGTTTGGGGCCAGGCCCCAAGTTTGCGTCCATATAATGGGACATCAATCTGCTGGTTTAATGGATGGATTTCTTTTGACTGTCTGAGCAACAATGCCATTTATTTCTGAGCAGAAATCCTCCTACATTAAAAACAGAGCCCCATTTGTATTACTTGATCTCCTGATGACCCTAAATCCCATCCCATTTTGTAATGGCCAAAAATATCAACAAAAATGTTTAATTCTGCACTTTTGCTTTGTATCATTTTATAGACGCTTTTACTATGAATTTACAGCTACGCTCTGGCCTCAGTTACTACATACCAGTGAAAAGAAAGCTGTTTATTTCAGTGTAGCCATGACGATAGTTTTTTTTTGTTCGTAAGAGATGGATGCTCTTTGATTACAGTGGTGGTATTTCCATATTGTAAACATACTCTCTGTACTGTTACTAAAGTACTGTACATTTCTAGTTGCACAATTGTGTTACGGAGTGTAGATTCTCACTATCTTATGTATGGTGCTATTTCTGTGTTGTTGGTGGAAAAGAAATCTTAGCAGTTGATTATTGCTTGATATTTTATTATAATACAGGGATATATCCTCCATGGCAATAATAGCATTTAAGGTTCTCATTACAGAGTGAAATGTATATATTTTTCCATTAGTTAATTTACGTATGTACTGTATCCAGGGTTTAAAAAAAAAATTGTGCTGGCTATAAATAGAAAAAAAAACTGTCTAGCAGAATGGAACTAGTTGTAAATGAAAATCAAAAAGAGAGGATTGTTCCGTTCTGAAACAAATTGAATAGGTTTAATAGTAAATTAATTTTTCCATAACAATCTTATAAGGTTTATGAACTTGAAAAAAATGCAAAGCAAAACCAAACAGCTAACTGTGAAAATAAAGAAGTAGTAAGTCTGTAAGTAACACATGGTGCATCTGTCTAATACTTGACTGAGACTTGGATTCAGATGAGTCCAGGACCCACCATTGACATCTGTGGTAGGTGTAAAAGGTCATTTGTCAGTGAAATACTGGCAGCTCGGGGTTCCCAGCGTGCTAACAAATCATGAACTGATGGGTCTCGTCCCAATGTGGTTGCAAAATAACATACAGGGAATGTTAATCTGTAGCTAATGCCAAGTGAGTTCTTTGGTCGGTGACACACAACAGCAGAAAACGCCTGGCTGGAAAAACTGATCTAGGCTCCATTTGGGGTAAGCTGCATAGGTCTTGGGAGTCTGTTGGGAGGATAAAGCTTTTGCATGGGTGGGAGGGGGTTTTATAAGCGCATTTCAGAGAGTTTTCTTTCAATGTATGTTAGAATCAAGGTGAAGTGGCAGCCATGCTGTATGTTTAATGGTAGCTGCCGCACAGACGCAGCCTTATGATGAAGGTTGCTGAGCATGTGGAAATTATATTGGAGTAAAAATTATCCCATCCATTTGAAAGGTATCTACATAATTTAGCTGCACACTTCCTTGGTGTGAATAAACAGAAGTATTCAAAGCTGAGTGGTTTTGGATGTGTTTGTTGTAGGAACAAGCATTAACCCATGTGCTTTTTAATTGGACGGAAGAATGCACAACCCCACAAACTAGGCACAATAAAAGATGTAGCAAGTATTTATGAAAGGAAGTGAAAACCCCTCAAAATAAACTATCCCAAGCAAAACTCCTCAGGCCAAACTCTCTTCTCATTTTCATTTGTGCTTACCTCCCCTCCCCCTGCCTCTCTTGGGCAATGTACAGCCGTTCTCTGTCCCTGGCTATTTAAACTTCTTTCTTTACATTTTTTAAACCTGCCAGAGCCTCTTCCATATTCATAGATTGTGTAAGGCCAGAAGAGACCATTAGATCATCTTGTCTGACTTCCTGTATAATGCAGAATTTCACCCTGTTATCCCTGCATTGAGCCCAATAACTTGTGTTTGGCTAGAGCATATTCCAGAAAGACATCCAGTCTGGCTCTGAAAACAAAAGATGGAGAATCCACCAGCTCCCTTGGTAGTCTGTTCCAATGGTTAATCACCTCACTGGTAAACAATTTGTGCCTTATTTCTAATTAGAATTTGTCAAGCTTTAACTTCTAATCTTGGCTCCTGTTATGCCTTTCTCCTCTAGAT